CACTGACAATTCAATTTGTTAACGAACATTCGTTTACCAATACAAGATTATTGGGACAATGACATAGCCATGATTATAAATAGTCACGATATTTCTTTAATTTTGAATTAATGTAGCCATGCTCATTAAAAAGAGTTATGGAGGTTCTCTTCACCCAAACCAGAAATAATGAAAAGCCACAAATGGACAAGTGCAGGACCAGGTGGCCGTTGATAGGTAGAGGGAGGGAAAGATAACTATTTTCTCCAAAAGTCTTCCCTGAAACTGAGACTGTGGTCAATTGTATGCCTGCATCATAATGTTGACATGACAATTATCTGTGATTATGGTCCTATCTAGATCACTATCGCAGCGAATATTTTAACATTACCGCTAATAAGGCAAAGTTAAGAGCATCTTCCACTCCCGGGACTGCGAAAACACTGTCATCGTCACCTGTGATCGCGGCAATATCTCTACGTTCCCCAAAAGTCGCGAAGACATTATCATCACCTCTCAAGATCATAGGAAATCAGAACAAATCAACCTTATTACAAAAATCTACAGTTTTCATACAATTGTTGGAATACTAAAAAATGTACTGCGTAAGCTGTGCACATTCCTCTGCGGCCGCAAAGACCAGGGGTGTCGCCTTGAGGGGGGGTATGGGCCCCCCCCCCAGAATCTGGGAAAGAGAAAAGTTTGGAATTTCCTTGCCACGAGTTGGGACAGTTGGGAAGTCAGATACAAGAAAAGTATATTTTTACACTAAATAAAATTTAAATATTTGCAAAAATCCATCAAAGATAAAAATTTCTTTGACTTGGACAAATAAACATGATGTTTCTTTGATTTCATTTAACTTTGATTAAACTAGGCTAAACCATGCCTAAACACGCCTTATTTTAAGAAATCAATAATCAATTAGCGGTATAGTTTGTTGGAATTTCGTTTACGAGACATTTTTTCCTTATTGGACGTATGTTGGCTACCTTGATCCTGTTGTGTGTTGATGATTCTGAATGATTTGTCTGCGAGTTTGAATTTTGAAAGTGCAAGCCATGTAGATCTTCAGTTCAATTATGTTGTTTGTTAGTGTTTACAAGAAATTCAAAAATATTTTTCACGTCAGTCACATGAACTATATTTTATACCTTTTTTTGTAGTATTTGGAGCAGGCTAACTGACAGGAGTACATGCTAATAAGTAGATTAAATTACATTAAAGATAGGTTTTGTGTATCATCGGTATCACCTTTAAAACTCTTGTTTTTTAATAATCTAAATGAAATATTTATTCTCTGAATATATTTAAAAAATCTACAAAAGTTATTTATCATTAAGGGTTTACAAAAATGTATCAACTAATCATTCTGAAACAGATAGAAACCACCACGCCTATACCCCAGGAAGATCCTGTGACTCTGCCCTACATCACCTGGTAAGCAGAATCTACAAGGCGTTTGAGTTCAAGGAGATTGCCCTCGGGGCGTTCCTTGACATCCGCCTTTGACAACACTGAAACCCAGGCTGTCATCAATGCTGCCAGAGCTCGTGGATTCCATGAGGTGGTGTGGAGGTGGGTAGAGTCTCTACTTAGGAAGAGGAAGGTAAGACTCTCTCTTCACAATGAGGTTCTGGAGGCCAGGACCACACGGGGTGTCCACAGGGTGGTGTACTCTCTCCTCTTCTCTGGAACCTTGTTGTGGATGACTTAATTAGATCTCTCAGTGACAGTGGTGTATTCGTTCAAGGATACGTGGACGACATTGTGATACTGGTTATGGGTAAATTCAACAACACGGTCTCCGACCTCATGAACACAGCCTTGAGGTCAGTTGGATAATGGTGCACAGAGGTAGGCCTTTCTATCAACCCCTCCAAAGTGGCGGTTATCCCCTTCACGAGGAGGCGCGATCTAAATGGCATAGGACCGAGACTACAAGACACAGTGCTTGAAATGCAGAATCAGGTTAAGTACCTGGGTGTGGTATTGGACCGAAAGCTGCAATGGGGGCCACTACTCCAAAAGGTCATTGATCGAGGTAAGTGGTCACTCATGGCTTGCAGACGGATGGTGGGAGGAACCTGGGGGCTCAAGCCGGTGCTCATGCACTGGCTATTTGTCTCCGTGGTAAGGCCCGCCATGACATATGGCTCACTCAAGTGGTGGCCCAAGATGGACTCGGTGTCGGCGGTGAGAGATCTGGCTGCCGTCCAAAGACTCGCCTGTCTCATCATCACGGGCGCAATGAGCAGTTGTCCGGGAGCCTCACTGGACTGCCTTCTCAACCTCACTCCAATTGACCTGCATGTCAAGGTCACTGCGAGGAGGACTGCCTACAGACTCCAGTGTGAAAGCCTGAAAACCTTTGGTTGGATGTTGGAGGATCCCGAGGTCACTCTCGGATCACTCAGCAGGTAAGAGGGGAGGTAATGGACATGCCCTCGGACCACATGCCAACTTGATTCTTCTTCGCCAGACCATTCACTGTCCTTCTTCCATCCAGGGATGAGTGGATGTCCGGTGGGAATCCTCTTCCACAAGACGACCTTGAATGGTATACTGATGGTTCAAAGGTAAGAAGTGGGACTGGGGCTGGAATTCATGGAGTGCAGAACGGGGTTGACATTTGTCTTCCTATGGGCACTCACCCAACTGTGTTCCAGGCCGAAATGACTGCGATAATGGTATGTGCTAGGGAAAACCTGAGGCTAGGCTTCAGGGACATCAACATTTCCATTTTTACAGACAGCCAGGCTGCGTTCAAAGCGCTCGACTCCTATGAATTTAATTCTAAGGTGGTCTGTGTGCAACAGGACAAGGTCCGCCCCTACAGAATCAATCAATCAATCACTCTGAAACAGATCTACGTGGACAAAATATGACCTAAAATTTGATGTTTGACTTTCATGTACATCTAAGTTTGCTTTTTGTCTAAGTTCTAGTTTGATGAAAATTAAGGTTAACATTTTTATTGTATGTATAAGTTTATTATCAACCAGGTTGAACGTTTTTATATTATACCCGTATTATTTTAGGTTTATTCTTTTCTAGACTAATATTATTCACAACACTGAGATTAATATTTCATCATTACAAACTTGTTTAGGCCTAGTTGTAATTTTTATGAAAGTTAAAATAAAATGTTGATCTTAATATCAACTTCTAAAAGTATTTTAATTTCATTATTTTGTAATGAAATATTTTTTACCTACGACCGTTTTTTAAAGTAGCCATTTCAGTCCAGTTCTTAGAATTGAAAAGTTTCACTTTACAGCTGTTTACTTTCATATCCGCATAGTTTCATTTCATATCCGCATAGTTTTCTCATATCCACACAGGTAATGGACCAATGAGGTTCAAGTATTGAGAGAAAAGAATTAAAATTGTAATGCTTCGAAAGTCAACTAATCAGCTGATCAGCTGATCAGTTGACCAATTTAATTGTTGATCCGACTTGTTAATGTTGATACTCGCGTATTCTTAATTAAGTTGGTGGAAGTCCAAAAATAAATGAAATATTTGCCGAATTGTACCTGGTACAATATTATTTATGGTAAGAATGCTGCTAGCAATGTAATATTTAACGAAGTTTAACAAACACGTAATTACAGGAAATCAGCTGATTATACAACAAGTCGTTGCATCACTTTCAGTGGCAATGACAATACACGAAAACATAACCTCTCTAAAAAGTTATCATTAGTGATTGTTAGTAATTAAATCCAGATTGATAGTAATTAAAAAACGGTCGTAGGTAAAGTAGTGTACGCAACTCGCGTTAATAGTCTTTACGACACTCGTAGAAGTTTTTAAGGCACTCGCCAAGGCTCGTGCCTTAAATTTTCTACTCGTGTCGTAAAGACTCACTTAACGCAATCGTTGCGTAAACTACTATTTCTATACTAATTTGTACTAGGCTTATTTTATATCCTTAAAATTGTACACTGCTACGTCTGCTACCACAATGGTTTGTAAAGTTTTTTGGATTTGAAACAATACTTATTCAAGTTTTTTTCAAGTCATAAAATTTCATTATGAATTAGTAGAAGTTTTAGACGTTTTTTTAATTGAGTAATTTTGTATAGGCCAATATGTAAAACTAGCTATTTTTTGTTAATGCAAGTTAATAAATACTGAATTTAGTGTGACTATAGTATAATAATTTGTAGATTTTTTAAATAGTACAGAAATTGATTTCTTAAAATAAAAAATAGTTGGGAAATTTATGTTAAGCAGTTGGGAAATCTTAAGCAGTTGGGAAATTTGAGGCTTCTCCCTCCCCCCCCCCCCTTGGAATTTAACCAAGCAACGCCACTGGCGCAGACATCATCATCGCCTCCTGGGATCGCAAGAATATCTCTACAATTCCTTGTGCTCGCAGAGACATCCTTATCATGTCCCTGAAAAGAAGACGCTAATATCTTGACAATTTCCCACGGTCAAAAAGATATCATCATTGTATCCTGCGATCGCGACAAAATTAAGAACATCTCTTGCGTTTGCAAAGACATAATGTTGTCGCGACAAATGCTAATTTATTATGATGCTGTTGCAAGTGTTAATAGAATGTATTAGTTTAAAAAAAAACATTTGTTAGGTCTTCTTATCAAACCCTTTACAAAATCAATGATGACAATATGTAAAGTTGGAATTTGGAAGTTTTTAGCAAAAAAATGGATTGCTCTATACACTTGCATCTTCTAATTTTCTGATTGTATATTTCTGAAAATTGTTTGATTTTTTTCTGCACTGTTTATTTTTTATTTTTTCTAAAAACAATTTTCATTCTTCTTGTGTGTTGGGAAAATAATTATCACATTACTATTTTTTACAGTAAAATACAGTATGTGTTTTAAAATAACCAGTGAATTGTTATATTTTATTTATTTTCAGTTCTGTTTTATTTTATTTTATTTCAGTTTATTTTATTTTAGCACATACTGTAGTATAAAATTAAAAGTAGGTATCTTATATTTCTAGTTTTTGGATGTTTTAAATAGCAAAAACACACAGACCCTGTCCACTGCGGTGGCTGTGCCAACCTCAGCAGCATGGATTGTGCGGTGAACCCCTGTCTGCGCCGCCTCTCTGTACACTGATATGATGGGCTCTACACATGGAGCTTCATCTGTAACCAAGAAAGTTATATATGAAGACTAGATGCATGATTAATAGATAACCAGAAGATTGTTTAATCTGTCAACAATTTTTCTAACTTGCGTGGTAACTAGAATGTAAGATTAAATTACTTACGTAATTCCCGTCACAGCTCAATAAAATATGTCTATTCAGGACATGTTTTGGTGTTAAAACACCATCGTCAGCTTCAGGTACATAGTGTAGAGTTGATCAGTTGATAACATCGTCAGAAGATAAACACAGTACGGACACGAATAAATACATAAAACAATGAAATATTCAAAAAACAGGCCTGTTCCAACAAAAAATGACCGACCGCACAGGTAGCAAGGGACAGACTAGTCTGTTAGTCTGTGTTGTAGATATTCTGAGTGACCAAAAAAGATCTTCGCTATTTCACCATTAGCATAGGAATTGTCACTATTCGTCCGTCATCGCAGAATAAGTCCAAAATTGTATCGCGATCGCGGGAGACAATGATGATGTCTACACGGCCACGGTAAATGAACTTGATTTTGCCGCGATCGCGGAAGATGATGATCGCGTTTTCGAGACCGCGAGAGATGATGATGATGTTACACGTCCGCAGGAGATTTTCATGATTTTGCCGCTATTGCGAAAGACGAAGATCACGTTTTTGTGGCCGCAGGAGACAATGATGATGCCCACAAGGCCTCAGGATATTAACTTGATTTTGCCGCGATTGCGAATGACGACGATCATGTTTTCGAGACCGCGGGAGACGATGATTGTGTCTACACGGCTGCGGGAGTTGTTCATGATTTTGCCGCTATCGCACAAGACGGCTGATGTGTACATTCCAAAGATACTGGCTATAAGTTGTTCGTAAACATCTGTTCTTATTTATTATTGTTTATATAATGATTCAGTTACATAATTGAATTGTGATTAAATAAAGTAAAATTGAGTTACTACATTTAAATGTTACATTATTAAAATATCTAACAAATGGCGACGAGAATAATGGAAGAAATAGAAAACATAGAAGAAGATGTAAATAAAGTCAAGAAATTGAAATCATTGCGAAGAACAGTCAAATTCTAGCTTGGAAATGTAAAGAAGTATGTGGATATAGGAACATTTTCCATCAATGACATCAAAACTAGACTTGACTTGTTAGCTGAGATTAAATCAAAGTATGACCTAATTCGAGACAAGATCGGTTTCTGTACAGAAGAAGAAGATTTAGAACAAGAGTTAACTTACAGAGAAAGTATTGAAAACATGCTGATTGATACAAAAACAAGATTAATGGATGCCCAAATGATTCATAGGTCTAATACATCAGCATAACTCTATTCCTAATCAAAGTCATTGTTTCAATGCAAATCTACATAATAATACACTGATTCCAGTCCTTCCTACTTCAAATTTGAGCTTTACTCCTTATGATGAAAGAGAAAAGTTTTCTAATTTTGCCAGAAGACTGGAGGTCTTTATGACTTTGAAAGGTATCAATGATTCTAAATTGAAGACATTTACTTGCCTTGACACCTCTTCTACATCAAAAGCTGTATATAGACCTATGTACACCAGAAAATCCTAAAGAGTATGAAGAGCTTGTAACCTTACTTGTGTGGAGCTTAGTCCAACCATTCAAATGTCCCGCCATAAAAGTATGCCACACTTGACAACTTTCTAGATCCTAAGAAAAGTGTTTTGGCTTTACAACAGACATTTATAAGTCGAATACAAGAAAATGGAGAATCAATTTAAAATTTTGCTACAGAACTAAAAAGACTATCAACAAACTGCAAATTTAATTGCGAAGCTTGTGGAAAGTATGTATTAAACATGCAATTACGACAACAACTCATACGTGGACTTAATGACAAGGACATAAAAACTCAGCTGCTACATAAATGTGACCACAAACAATTCGTAGAAATCCTTAATACAGCTACTACAATGGAGCTTTCAAAACAGGAAAGTACTATGATATGTCATAACAGTGGAAACTTAAACATAAATCAAGTAAAGTCTAATCGACAGATTCACGGATACAGAACAAAATTAAACATCACAGGATCTTATACAAATAGTAAATTTTGTGTAACAGATTTTGAGTCACTGAAAGGGAAATGCTACCGATGTGGGAATGTAAATCATATAGAGCGAATGTTTGTCCAATGATTGATGAGACCTGTAATACCTGTGGAAAGATTGGACATATTTCAAGAGTATGCCTAAGTAAATCTAAAATCAGTAAAAGACAAGTTCATTACACTGAAAATAATTACATTTCTGAAGACAATATTCATGAAATTAATTTACTGTCTGACAAAAAGAAGGATGACAAATTTCACATAGATATAAAAGTGGAAGGTAAAATTGTAACTTTTGAGTTGGATTCTGGAGCATCACTTACATCAATTTCTTGTGAAGATTACAAAAGATTATTTCCCTCCAAAAGACTTTACAAGACTGGTGTAGAGCTGCGCACCTACACAGGGGAAATTATAAAACCCCCCTGTTAGTTTAAACCTAAGGGAGTAACATATGTACAATGTGAATATAAGGGACAATGTTTCATGGGGAAAATGTTTGTTATTAATCAAAACGTCGAGAAGAAGAACACGTCGAGAACACAAGAAGAACGTCGAGAAATAAAATCCATAAACATGAAGGAAACAAGGAAACCGGAACTGGATTCATTACTTGCGAATTATGAAGATTTGTTTGACAAAAACATAGGATGTATTCCAAACTTTAAAGCAAAATTGAACTTGAAGGACAACTCAAGCCCTATATACATAAAAGCCAGACAGGTTCCATATGCAATCAAAACAAAAGTTGAAAATGAACTCAGCCGTCTGGAAACCCAGGGCCGATTTACCGAATAGGCACGGTAGGCACGTGCCTATATAGGGCGCGAGGCAATTGGCTTTTTTGGGGGGCGCCAAAAAATTGGAAAATAAAAAAAAGTTGGCGGTTGTATTTGATGATCGCAGTAAACTTCTGATAATCCCTCCCGGCCGTGTAGGCATCGTAACCGTCTCCCGCGATTGAGGCACAATTCTGACTATTTTCTACGGCCGTGTAGACATAATTATTGCCTTCCATGATCGCGGCAATATATGAACATATCCCGCGGTCGTGAGGAGATTATCATCGTCTACCGCAAATTAGGCAAAATTCTGATCACCCCTCGCAGACGTGAAGACATCATTAATCATCCCCCGCGGTCGTTTGTACATAGCAATTGCCTCCCGCAATTGCGGCAAAATGGTAATCATTTCCTGCCATCTTGTGGAGATCATCATCTTGTTCCGCAAATGAGGCAGAATTCTGATCTTTTCCCGCGGTCGTATGAACATTATAATCGTCTTGCCCTATCGCGATGAAACCCCTCGCGGCCATGAAGACATCATTATATCGTCCCCCGTGGTCGTTTGTACATAGTTAATCGCCTCCCGCGATTGCGGCAAAATGGTAACCATCTCCCACTCCCTCGGCCATGTATTGTATATATCATCGTCTTCCGCGAATTAGGCAAAATTCTATGATCTTCTCCCGCGGTCATGTGGACAATTAATTGTCTTGCGCGATCGCGGCATAATTCTGGTCATCCCTCGCGGCCGTGTAGAAATCATTATTGTATCTCCTGTGGTTCTGTAGATATCGTAATCGTCTCCTACGGTCGTGAAGACATCGTAATTATTGTTTCCCGCGATTGCGGCAAAATGTCAATCATATCCCGCAGTCGTGTGGCAATCATCATCCTCTTCTGCGATCGCGGCAAAATTCTTGCTGTTTCCTGCGTTCGTGTCAACATTATAATCACCTTCCGGGATCGCGGCAATATTCTGATCATCCCTCGCGGCTCTGAAGATATCACAATCGTCTTCTGCAATCTTGGAAACTTCTGATAATCCCTCGCGGCCGTGTGTAGACATATTTTTGTCTCCCGCGGTCACGGAAACGTCACTGTTGTTATTCGCAATGGCGGTAAATTGAAAATTCCAGGTGGATATACAAAATTCACGCATAATTCCCAGTTAAAAAAAACTCAAGCATAATTCACGGATTCCCGGTTTTCCTGGTTGGTGGACACCCTTTATATATATTGCAAAGGGGCCCTACTATTAGTTGTGCCTGACAGGGCGCTGACAGGGTCAAAAATGGACCTGTGGAAACCCAAAAGATTATCACCAAGGTGGACAACTCAGAATGGGGAACACCTATTGTGCCTGTCATAAAACCCAATGGTGACATTCGTATCTGCGCTGATTACAAGGTTTCTCTGAACAAAGTGGTGGAAGATGAGAAGTACCCGATTCCGAGGATTGAAGACATTTTTTCTACAATGAGTGGAGGTAAATACTTTTGTTCTCTTGATATAAGCAATGCAAATGGACGAAGACAGTAGCAAAATGCAAACTCTAAGTACTCATAAGGGGTTGTTCAAAGTAAATAGACTGATGTTTGGAGTCAAGGTTGCTCCTTCACTGTGGCAAAAAATCATGGATTCTTTACTACAAGGTATGGATGGAGTACAATGTTTTTTGACGATATTTTAGGACAAGGATCAACTTACGAGGAAACTCTTCAGAGATTAGAGAAAGTCCTCAATGTTCTACAGAAGCACAACCTACATTTAAATAGAGACAAATAAATGTAAGTTTTTTGAAAAAAGTATCAAATACCTCGGACACATTATTGATGATAAAGGCCTACACAAAAGTCCTGAGAAAACTGTAGCAATTCAAAATGCTAGAAGGCCTATGAATGTAAGTGAATTGAAAACGTTTTTAGGCTTGGCCACTTACTACAGCAAGTTCATACAAAATTACTCAACAAAAATATATCCTTTGGCAAGGTTACTTACGAAAAATGTTAAGTTCAACTGGAGCTCTGATTGTGAAAATAGTTTTCAAAAAGTCAAAGAGGAAATAACAAGTGAACAAATTTTGACTCATTTTGACCCCAATCTGACGGTTACCCTCGCAACGGATGCATCACCTGTTCCTGTTGGACTCGGAGCAGTACTTTCTCACAGACTAGAAAATTGTACAGAAAAACCGATTGCATTTGCTTCACGCACTCTGACAAAAAGTGAAGTAAAATTCAGCCAGATTGATAAGGAAGCAGCAGCTATTTATTTTGGTCTGAAGAAACTCTTCCCATACATTTATGGACGCAAGTGTATATTAATAACTGATCATAAGCCTCTTGTGTCCATATTCGATCCTCAAAAGACTCCTCACCCATGGCAAACCCCTGATGGTCCGTGGCAAAGAATACATAGCTGGGCCTTGTTTTGGAAACAATTATTTTTTTATTGTGGCTGATGGCTTACACAAAATGGGTTGAGGTATTTCAAACAAAAACTACTTCTTCTGATTGGTGTGTAAAGAAATTAAGACAATTGTTTTTAACGTTCGGAATTCCATTTACTTTAGTGTCTGATAATAGCAGACAATTTTGTGAACATACTTTTGAAACATTTTTGAAAAACTATGATGTTTATTTTCTAATGTTTCAGAGAAATGTGAGAACAAGATTAGATTTAATGATAACAAATAACACATCTTCGAACAATGACTTCAAATGTGCAAAGGTAGTGAGGGATTTTAAAAAAGGGGAGAGAGTTCAAGCATACGACTTCAGACATAGTAAAAACAAGTGGATGTTTGGTTATGTTAAAAGTAAGGAAGGTAAATTAATTTATGTTCTGAAAATGGATGATGGATCTATATGGAGACAATCACATGTTACCAACAAAATTCAAGGGGGAGGATTGATGTGTACATTCCAAAGATACTGGCTGTAAGTTGTTCATAAACATCTGTTCTTATTATTATTGTTTATATGATGATTCAGTTACATAATAGAATTATGATTAAATAAAGTAAAATTGAGTTACTACATTTAAATGTTACATTATTAAAATATCTAACAACGACGATCACGTTTTCGAAACCGCGGGAGACGATGATGACGTTTACATGGCCGCGGGAGATTTTCATGATTTTGTCGCTGTCGCGTAAGACGACGATCACATTTTTGTGACCGCGGGAGACGATGATGATGTCTTCACGGCCGCGAGAGATGTTTATGATTTTGCCGCAATCGCACAAGACGAAGATCACGTTTTCGTGACCGCGAGAGACGATGATGATGTCTACACAGCCGAGCAAGATGTTCACCATTTCTCTGTGGCCACATTAGTCGTTCATGAATCCGCCGCGATCAGAGGAGACGGATTTCATTGGCATCTAGCGCTTCTAACCTAAAGTAAGATTTCGGACCTGGCTTCAGCTGCTTGAATGATAGTAAGTTAGGCGTGCTCCATCTATTGGTCTTATGTGATTGTTGGGCTGAACCAACTTATTCTAAGGTTTTATCTATGACTATTTAATATTTTAAATTTCACAAGAATTTACAAAAATCCTCACCCTATTTTTGCTGTGTGTATTTGGATTGATTTAAAAACTATGTACGTACCTAGATCTTGAATACTTGAAACAAACTTAAATTTAGATCTCCAAAAGACTAATTTAGCAACAATTCACCTACAACGCCTTCTGAAGGCTGTAAAGTAAGCAGATCAATGCCAACAACTCCCTTGTCGTAATGTTTCTGGCACAGATGAAGAACTTCAACAAGGTCATTGAACTCTTCACTATATCGAGCACATAAAATCTGCTTGGTTTTGACACCGAAGTCCTTGAGTCCACGTTCCAAACCATGTGAAATTCGCACAATAACTTCATCCAGTGCTAAAATATTGAAACCAAACACAAATTAGCAAGCAAAGATAACTGGTTGATACAGAAGGTGTTTCTGAATAATAAAGTCTGCACAGCTTAGTCTGCTAATGCTACCGTACCAATCTTCAAAATATATTATAAATATAATTAATATTTAAGGGTGCGCTCTACCTCATCTCGGGCTTCAGTAGCTATGTTGCACCATTGAACAGTGCCGCGAGAAGCGCTTGCAGACGTTTAAGTCCTCTCAAATTACTCAGTTAACTTTTAAAATTTGTTTCATCTGAAGAAGGTTTCTTACTCCTTAAATTCAAATCTATGACTCTTTGGTTTTAATTTCCATCAACAAATTAATTCTCATGAGTAAAATGCTTTAGAAAAGTTTTATTTTGAGGTATTTATTAGTCACTTCACACTTAAATTTCTACAATTAGCACAAAATTACAAACGTACAAGCCTACAAAAATATGAAATGAATAAAGTAACATAAATATATTTTCTATCGGTTAAGAACCAAACCTACGGAGATCCTAAGCCCTTGCATTAGCGTACGGTGGACAGGTAGAGTGCACCCTTAAATAAGAATAGAAGAACATTTTACTAATTTAGAAGGTTAATAAAGCCTTTAAAGCATAAGGTTTGATTGTTTTCACATAGCCTTGGACTACTTTCTTATAAAACCATTTTACCAAACCCTGCCAAACCCTTTTTGGTCTTTATTTGATAGTTATAAATTATATGCATATATCATTACAGGGTACCTTGTGTAACTTGGATGCATTAAAAACCTTCAAATAAAATTTTGGGCATCACCTTGCATGTCATATCAAAAACATTATATCCCTACATATACTTTTTATTAAAGACTTGTAGCCATAAAACTCATGACTAAAAAATCTACTTTGTAAAAGGTATTCCAATAGCTAATGATTACAAGAGAGAGGTGAAGCAATAGAGAACCAGTTTTGCCATTTCCTCACCACTCGGGCCAAGTTGAAGGAGAGCCTTGTTCCCCAATGCTAGTCTTGGACTGTAACGCACTTCCGCATAGATCACTCCTGCGTAGTACTCGTCCTCGCAGAACTCATACGCTACACGCTCTAATGCGTCTAGGTCACCTCTGCGAGAAGAGAGAACAAAGTAATAGAGAAACTAAATAATAAAGTATAGAGAACAAGGAGACTTTAAATATCACCTACTTAGAATGACAATTTCATTTGTTTAACAGAATGTACAAGTACTAAATGAAGGTTTGCAGCAGATAATCTTTTCTATTATACAGGGTTAGTAAAAAGTGTGGAGACCCCCTGTTATTTTTTTAACGGCCCATACTAGAAAACTAAACTCGGCACACCTTTATGACATGTTATGAAGTACTTTTTGGGAATAACCGTCACTTGGTGTACATCCCCAAAATCCCCCATTTTGGGGTAAACTCAAAAATTTCAAATACAAAGACCCATCGAGTGACCCCTCATTTTGAAGTTCCTGGTAAAAGAAAACCAACAACGCAAACTAGAGGTCTTTATCTCAATCCAGTAAAAAATGGCAGCCAATTGAAATTCTCAGAAGTTCAATTTCAAGTCTGGAGACCTGCTGTAAATTTTGTAGCGGCTCACACTAGGAAAACTAAACTCTACACACCTTTTTGGCATGTTATGAAGTACTTAAAAGCCTAATAACCACTTGCTTACCAAACCCAAAATGGGGGATTTTGGGGGAAACTCAAAAGTTTTAAATGATAAGCCCCATCGAGTGACCCCTCATTTTGAAGGTCCTGGTAAACGAAAACTAACAACGCAAACTAGAGGTTTCTATCTCAATCCAGTAAAAAATTGAAGCTGATTGAAATCTTTAGAAATTGGAAATAACTTGCAATTTTATATTCAATTAGCTGCCATATTTTACTGTGTTAAGATAGAGACCTATAGTTTGCGTTGTTACTTTTCTTTTATTATGACCTTCAAAATGAGGGGTCACTCGATTGGGCTTATCTTTTAAAATGTTTGAGTTTCCCACAAATCCCCCATTTTGGGTTTGGGAACTTATGAGAATTTCAATTGGCTGCCATTTTTTACTGAACTGGGATAGAGACCTCTAGTTTGTGTTGCTGGTTTTCTTTTACCAAGACCTTCAAAATGAGGGGTCACTCGATGGGTCTTTGTTTTGAAATTTTTTAGTTTCCCCCAAAATCCCCCATTTTGGGGATGAACGCCAAGTGGCAGTTATTCCCAAAAAGTACTTCATAACATGCCATAATGGTGTGCTGAGTTTAGTTTTTCTAGTATGGGCCGTTAAAAAAATAACAGGGCGTCTCCACACTTTTTACTAACCCTGTATAATAAATCTACTAAAGTAAAGAATCAACTAACGCAAAGTTACTAAAAATCTGTTAAATTTTACATAAATCACCATATGGCTTATTAGGATGGAATCTCCTCAAATAATTCAGTGCATTTACCTTAGAGACCTATCAGTGTACTGAAGCTTGGAGGTACTGAGTTTCAGCATTTTCACGTAAACAATTTCAACAGGTAGATCAATATGATTAATAATCGGGCATCCATTGTAAAAATTTAATCTGTAAATAGGTACTTTTTATAGCTAGAATAATTTTTATACAGAATGTTTTGTTTACATGAAAAGGCAGTATTTCCGAAACACTTTTTATGTACCTATGCATCTATAAAATGTAGGCACATACCGGTAATTTAGTGGCGCTTAACATACATTATATTTTTTTCTCCCTTGGATCACCAGACCTAATTTGATGCTTTTTAATTATTCTCACTAACGGAACTGCAAAGGTTTATTTGATGATAACGTCTTTAGTTTACAAAGTTCCAATGTTTTTCATTTTAAACAAGTATTTTCTTACAACAAGTACAATAAAAAGTACTTTAAAGACCTGTAGTAAAATAAATCACTGCCGCAGTTCTGTTTAGGTAAACATTTAATACAAGATTGACAATTCCACTGTATTATAAAAAAAACTGTATCAGCAATCTGACACATACTATCTCCCATCAGCTTGCCAACAACCCTTATAAAACACAAAAAGACTTTGACTTGTATGACTCGTGTCATAGGCTTCAGACAAGCAGTGGGATAAAGTATGGTATATGATGGGGAAAATCAAAACAGTTACAATAACTCTTGAACTGTAATTTTACAGCAATAGGGGTTGTACAAATCTGTTTAGAGTTATAGGAGCTATATTGAGTACTAAGCTTAATCAAAATCAGTTTCAATATTTTAAAAATAAAAGTAACTTGTGAACCGTAATTTTTTCAGCAATGATAGATGTACAGATGTACGGTACCTTAATGTTTTAGAGTTAAAAGGACTAAAACATACGTATCCGGTAGTAAATTTTAAATAAAATCTTTCAAAATATTTTAGAGAAAATTAGATTTTTCTGATATCTTATGAGTTCTATGAGAAAATCATCCCAAAAAATTAAAATTAAAATTAAATAAACGGTATCAGCATTCTGAGAAATACTTTCTCCCATAAGCTCATCAACAACCTTTATCATGGGTAAGCGGTAAGAGTAAATATGATATTTTATAGTTAAAAATCACAAAAGTGGCAATAAATTTTGAAACATAATTGTTACAGCATTGTGTACTATTTTTTGTTGTTGTTATTTTATGGGGTTTTTATGGAAAAATAACATAAGTTACAATAACTTTGGAACCGTAATTTTTACGGAAATGAGATTTGTACCATTTTCTTCAGAATTTAAAGGACTAAATTCTAAACATAGCATTCTAAATTTTTATCAAAATCGTTCTGGCCATTTTTGAGAAAATCCTATTTTTCCGTTATTTTATGGGGTTTTATGGGAAAATCCCCATTAAAAATAGAATTTCAATAAAATGAAAAAATTTTCAAAATTTTAAGGACCATAACATACTTAGTTAAATCAAAACCAGCTTTTTTCTAAAATCCTATTTTTTGTTATTTTATGGTTTTTTTATGGAAAAATAACATAATTTACAATTTCTTTTTAACCGAATTTTTTACAGAAATGGCAGTTGTACCATTTTGTTCAAAATTTAAAGGGCTACAACATACTAAATTTTTATCAAAATCGTTCAGGCCATTTTTGAGAAAATCCTATTTTTCCGTTATTTTATGAGTTTTTATGAGAAAATCATCATTAAAAATCAAAATTTTGAAAAAATGAAAAAAACAACTGGAGATATCATGGACTAGAACCTACACACCAAATTTCATTTAAATCGGACCACAGGTGTATCCCTAGCTCTGTACACATCCAGACACACACATACGGGGTTTTACCGAATACTCGCAAACACCTAATTGTGGCATCTTTCAACCTGCGGCCACCAGTGGATGAAGGAAGGTGGTAGAAACATGTCTGCATCGATATTTTTAATGAACACTCCATTTTAACATCTAACATTCCAGTTTTTAAATTGTGGCACCATGCCACAAATCGGTATATATCAACAGTGTGTGGACAGGATGCCACTAATGCGTTGTAGTGCTTGAGCGGTGTGTGCGCCCCCCCTACTTCTCGCGTGCGCTGTTGCCAGTTCTCCGTTCTAATTCCTTCATTCCGTTCTGTATTCATGTGGCTATGCCCTAGCAACTGTAACTCATTTCCCGCGCTCATGACGTCGTCTTTTATTAGTGTAAGGATTTTATATGAAGTTTTTTTCAAAGCTCCAATAATTTTTACAATTATTGGATTTAAAGTCAATGGACCAAATGAAATGTCGTGAGGATTACATAAAACTACATGCTATTTTGTTGATATTTTATCGTCACATTGTATGTATGGTTTACGAACTGAGATACTTGGAATAAAGGCCTTAATGTGCTGGGTAAATGATCAGTTTCATGGGAATCTATATATTAATTACGTAAGCCGATTCTTTGCGTAAAATTGTGGGCGACTGGGAAGTCGTAGAACGACGTGAGAGGGCTCAAATTAGGGTCTGACTTAGGGGAGGTACGAATGAGGCATTAGTTCAAAATTCCTCCGTGAACAGCGCTGTAGTAGAGAGTACTTTGGCAAAGAAGGTTTACTAATCGCAAAAATAGTTCTGTTCATAAAATAAAATTATAAATGCCTCAAATTCAATTTTATTATTTTTTAATTATAAAATTAAACTATCATAACCTAACCGAACTAACTAAACTTGCTGATAATGAAATAATATAACAAAAGTTTATTAATAGAAAAAATAATTCTGTTTATTAAATAAAACTAGAAATTACTCTACTAAAATATTATAATGACTTAATAATAAAATTAAACTGTCATAACCGAACCAAACCAACCAAACTTGCTGATAATAAAAAAATCTTGGACAAAAAGTTAAATCCACGAGCGGGATTTGAACCCGGGACCTTCAGCATATCAGCCCGGCACGCTAACCATTAGGCCACCGAGGCCGATGATTGATGATCGTTTTGTTACGGTAATGGCGTTCCCTCAGCTAATAAGAAGCCCACAGCTGTCATCGTATCCTCTTCTATACCTCCCCTGAGTAAATACCCTCAAATTAAAGGTCTTTATCCCGTGACGGCGGGAAAAATAGTGAAGTTCCCAAAATCTTAACACAAAATTAGATATAACGTACAATGATCTCCATAAGAATAGCATTAGAAGGCATTTACTGCTGATTTTTGTTTACTTCAATCCAGCTGATCGTGATTTTATCATTAGCAAGTAAGCTTACATTTGGATTTCTCATTTGCCAGTCAATTCTGCAATGTAATCTATCTATCTATATTCTATTCTATACTATTATAAAGAAGAGGTGGTGTCTGTGTGTGTGTTTGTATGAGCTAATCTCAAAAACTACTGGTCGGATCGGGCTGAAATTTGGCATGATGATAGCTCACATTCCCGATTAACATATAGGCATATTTTTATCCCAAAAAATCCTTCGGGGCTCCGCCCCAGTGGCTCTGGAGTTTCCCATGTTAACCTTATGAGAAATGGAATTAATGAATCTTAACAGCTGTTTCAATTAAACAAGTTGGTTATGTTCTATGATGTTCAATAGCATTAAAAGTTACAAGGATTACCAACAGGGTGCAGCACTAGCACTATTATTTCTTTTACATTTATGACAACAGCAAAAGGTGAGTGAGCGTAGCGAACGAACTTCAACCTGGAGGCGAGTGAGCGTAGCGAACGAGCTAACCTGAAGGCAAGTGAGCGTAGCGAACGAGCTAACCTGAAGGAAAGTGAGCGCAGCGAACGAGCTCCAACCTAAAGGTGAGTGAGCGTAGCGAACGAACTTCAAAAAGAACCGAAATTTCTTAAACCATCTCCTCACTCATAACTGCTATAAGCATTTGATACTTATATGCCAACCCCGTACGAAGGACGGGTACTCTGCTAGTGTATACTATATAAAACCAACTATATAAAGGGATTACGTTACCTTTAATAATCAAGACTTTTTAGTTATGTCAAAGTTGAAATAAATTGTTTTCAAGATTTAAGAAACGATTCAAGATTAAAAGAAGATCTTCTTTGTTTTTATTTCAAAACATATGTAAAAGATTTATTCCAATTTTTTTTTTTTAATTTACTAACATTTATATTTGAGATTTATTGTAGTGTTTAATCAATATTTTGTATGAAGTGGAATAACCTCAACGGTTACTCTTAGAAAACAATTTGGGAATAGAGATGAAGTAGGTTCGTACAGGTATTTAAACGAACCAAAAATATTTATGTCGTGATTAGTTTCGATAACTGGGTAATGGAACCCTAACTAGCCGCAAAATAGTTGGTAATTAGACGTTGACTAGGCCCTTTTTTGGTAGAATATGTAAATCAATCGCACCTTTAGGAGGATTAACACCACATACTTACACTAGGCTAATAGTGTTTTTTTAATGTTGATCACAAACAAATTTAGGTCCAAGTTCTGTCAATGGGATGCCTTTACTTAAGAATAATTTTGTTAAACCTTTACAAAATGAGCATAGACTTAGAAATAATAACTGGGTAGGGTATCTCAACACACCATTTTTTGCCTTTTCTTATTTGACGAAGACAATTTCCAATACTGTATTTCAATCGGGGAAGCCTTGTTATCAGCGTTAACCAAAAAACCAAAGCTACCTTAATAAACCAATATTTATTCATAAACATGTTTGCTGCCTTTAGCAGTTAAACTCAGGAATCATTCAAATTCTTTATTGAACATAACGTTATCAACAAAAGCAAACAAAGACAAACAACAAACTGTTTTGTTTTTTTTTTGCACAAAAGATATGTTGTAGTGGGATATCTAGGCCTATCCTGACATATAGATAATTTGATTCTGAGTTTGTTTAAATATTCCAACAATAATTCCTTTTCCGTAGCTTTTAAGGGACTATGTCCCTACAAGCCACTAGTTTACATTAAAATACGCAATAAGTATGACTCCGTTTTTTCTGTATGCATATAATTAATTCATGGTAATGTAAAAGTATGCGTAACGAATTTTTCACCTCACTATGATGTTTTT